TGAACCTCTGAAAATATTTATTACTGCTCTCCTCCTATTTCTTTTCTACACCGAATCCTTGCTGCACCTTCATCTCCCATCTTTCCTCACAGATACACCAAACAAGTTAAGTTGGCTCATATGGCTTTCCTCAGCTGTAGGAGGGTAGGGATGTAAACCACATCTTGTAAAATGTCTGTCGAACCAAACAAGTAATTGCCAGAGGGTTACTAACACCTACCAGTTGTTTATGCATAGCACGTTATTATCACAGTTATTTAAAACAGTTTTAGATTAGCTACGTGTCAATCTCACAGCAACTGCACAACCTTCAGGACATCTTTGTGTATATGACAGACTCCCAGCTGTGAAAGAATTACATAAAAACCCTCCATACTTCTCAATGAGTGTGTATCGATGATTTTCTTTATGGAAAAACAAACAAAAAAAAGATTTTAAAAAGCCAACTTAGGTCTTCCTATTCAGATACATTATTTTGGTTCTGCTATTAGTCTCTCTTGTGAGTATGAAAGTGCACAAGATCAACTTCATAACTGTTTGCTTCCACATTTTCAGTGCTACTGTGTTGAGGTAGTGTACAGTGATTAAAAAGAACTGTATCTTTTGGTTGGTTAATTGGTTGGGGTTTTTTTTAATTCTCACAGACTTTCGTAACTTAAAAGCATGTATTTTGTTTGAGGAATGAATTAGAGGTTGCAATATCAACTTTAGAGTCTTTGGACAAAATCACATCTGAAAATGTTGACAGTTCTACTAAAACAACCCACCAGTGTTTGCTTCTGTTTAGTTTGTCAGTGTAGTCTTCCCTCATACACTAAACCTAGGCCAGATTTCTCACACACATTAAAGTGATGAAAGAACTTCAGTGTGGATTAGGCAGAGCTGCAAAGAAAGAAAGCTTTTTTCCCAGTGGTACACAGTGATTTATGGTGGATAAGGCAGGTGCAGAAAATTCTGACAAACTGCAGTCAGAACGACACGACTCAGCAGGTACATGTGTTAATACAAATGCCCCTCTCACCATAATGTGAAGAACTCACAAACAATTAGACTTTGTGTAGACAGCACGACTTCCCACTTTGTAAGAGACGGGTATTTATCCCGGTTATGAGGCACAGTGTCAAGTATGTGATGATACATTCTGTCGCCATGGACAGGAATGTATATAATATAGTATCAAACAATAAATGAAAACACTGTATGCTGGCAAACCTTCAATCCTCATTTCAACACAAATAAGGATTTAAAATCATGCAGAATGTAAACACAAGTTTTCACAATAGTACTTGTACTGCCCCTTGCTTACGTAATTTACATGTAATGTTCTTTTTTGTCTAATTTTGTGAAGTCTCTGGTTGAGCTGAGCTAGTTGTCTCTAACTGTTCAGTTAGGTATACTGAATGGAGGACTGGTGAGAAAGCTATTGCTGTTTCACTCCTGAAAGGCAAGGCTTCTCCCTTGATCTTTTCAGTTGTCTAGTGATACGGAGTAAAATCCGGTTCATCTTACACAAAAGCACCCAGTGAACTCAGGAGGATACCGTGTTGGTAAGGGGAGCGGGATTTGACCCCAAAATTGCACTGTCATAAGGGTATGAGCGCTCTGTAGATTATGTGGTCATACATCTCTGTTCCTAAAACACAAACACAAGTTCTTGCTTTTGCTGATAGTTTCCATAATGTAGCATTTAGCAAAGATGTGCATATGAGTACAGCTTTAATTAAACTTAAGTAGACTCCTACCCAGAAATTGCTGCTAGTTTTTGATGAGCCTGATAGGCCATCTCACACCCTCGGGTTCGAGTTTTGTGCATTTCCGCATGCAGAGATGGACAGGTGACTGAGACATCCCCAATAGAAATTACCAGCTCCCGATACAGAGCCACCTGGGTATTGAACTCCTGGACAAGCTGAAAAACAAAGAGAATTTACTTACATAAGACATTTAACCACACCGAAAAAAAATCAAATTTTTAAAAAACATGCCAAGTCTAGGGCTTGTTCCTTCTGCTCCCAGTTTCATGGCATATAGGATCAATCGCCCAAGATTTAGTAAATGACTAAGGCCTCCATGGCAGTTGCCTCTTCTGTGAGCTATAAATGTTCGTTTGCAGGAAAGCAGTGTTTCTGCTTGTAATTTCTGGAAGCGTTTGAGTTACTGGTCTTAAATATTAAGCAGACAAAAGAAACCTGCTGTTTTACTAGTAGCATGAGGTTATTTTTTGCTGCCATAAAAGACAAAAATATCTCCAGGAATTATTGCCTTTGCTCCTCCTGCTTCCTGATTAACTGCAGATTTAGGGATTGGAATGCAGCGTTTGCATTTACACTGGTGATTTCACTAATTTATTTTGTAATGATTTCTGTTCTGTCACTGGCCTCTAACCCAGATTTCAGACTTAAAATTGGCCTGAAGCTATTGGCTGAGAAGATGTATGGGGTAGGCACTTTCCAGTTAGGATTCTAGAAAGCACTTTTTCAAATATGTGTGTGTGGGAAAAACAGACAAAGAAGTAAATAAACACTTCAGACTTTACAGATATCTAATATGCAGCAGATACACATGGATGCTATTTGATAAATGGGTAATGTTTACAGTGATGGAAAGATCATTATTGTTTAGTTCCACTGCTCATGTATGTGGGATTATATTTTAAGGAAACGAAGCATTTGCTGTCTTCTGAAAGAAAGTACATCAGACCATTTTCTGCACATGGTGGCGGGGGTGGAAGGGAGGGAGCAACAGAACGGAATATTTATTTATCCGTGTTTTGGTAATTTGACCTCAATTTCCAAACTACAGAAAACCAGACACGAGTAAGTGCTCGTAATTCTGCAGCCATCATTAGCACCAAGAGTACAACATACAAGTATGCTAAAAACCTGGATTCTATCAGATCTACCAAATTTTAAAGCCAAGCCTTCAAATTCTACTACTCAGAAAATAAAGGAGTCACCTCTCCTGCAGTACTACATTCTGACTCTTCATGCATCCCACTGTAATTACTCTGTATAACTAAGAACTAGTACCAGGACCTGTTTTTTGGCCATGCTTTCTTAAATGTCATTGTAAGAGTAGCAAACAGGTTTCTCTGATTCTGGAGCAGCAAAACAATCCCGATGCATTCCAGTACTTCTACACCCTCCCACCCTCGAACCCCAAACAAAATCACAAGCACACACCAAACAAAGCCCCAGGCACGATATATGCTAAATCTGGCTTCAGTTCTCTCATTGTGTGGCTTAAGACAATGCAATGGAGAGAAAAATACATTGTACCATGTTGTGTCACAGCGTAACTACTCTGCATTAAGGAAAGCAGAAACGTGTCTCCTCCTGCAACTGGTAACCAGTTGCGCCCCACACATTTTGCTTGCTCTCACCTGACATCCCCTGTCTAAACACGGGACACATTCAGCCCCCTCAGCATTGCCAAGGGAAACAAAACCACACCGGTGTTTCAGCATCAAGACAGAGAATACGAAAAAAACCCATTGGTTTCATCTCCCGAATCTTAGTTCATCTTGACAACCCATCGTAAAAGTAAATTGTACTTTACTTCTAATCAGTGAATTCTACAAAGCTAGCACTTCTGTTTAACTAACAGAACTGTGCTGTCGGGAACGAGAAGAGAGGCAGGACCCAGCAGGATCCACTTGTTGGGTGTATTTATAGAGCTACTGTGGCAGCTTTTGTTCCTGGGTGCGCTGGGAGTTGCTCCCGATTTTGAAGTATCAGCGTGGCTATCTGGCAGCACAACTTGCAGTATTGGAGAAAAAACCTGCCAGAATCCAGCAGAGCAGAAGCAGCCTGTACATTTCCAGCACCACTGGCCAGGGCTTTGGCAAGATTTGGATTTTTCAAGCAAAGTAGCAGCAACTTCACTTGTTTTCTGTTTCTGCCATTGGTTAGAGGGGTGATTTTGGGGCCCAGTGTCCAGCTGGCTGTAGCTCAAGCAGGCAGCTAATGGGGTACACGGCGCTGGTTTGGAGGGAAGTGCCAGGATCCAAGCATTCTGAACACGAATGGAGAAAAATCTCATAGTGTAACGCGACGGTCCAAAAATAACCTGGACGCAGGGGCTTGATTGCAGGCTTTTAAACTGCAGCCAGCTACTCTGAGGAAACTGGGGACAGGTACCGCGCAGGTCGGAGACAGAATTCCAGGGCCTTCGACTCCCAGCCCCGTTTCAGCAGG